CAGAACTTTAACACATTCTCAAAATGAGAAACTTTGTGTTAAAGACATTCATAAATTTTATGAATTTCATTATGCATATTTCATGCATAAAACTTTCTACATGCCTTCATTAGAAATATACTAGAATACTTCGAAGGCATTTATGTCTTTATTGGAAATATTAATAACATAATATTTCAAAAACATTCACAAGGATAAAAATATTTGTGTGCTAAAATACCAATATTTCATGCATGAAAAAATAAAAATAATTTCAACTTATCATTATGCAACTCTGTATCCATGCAAATGATACCAGAAATATTTACAACACCAAACTACACCAAATTTGACAATATACAGCACACCAAGATCCAACATATTATATATGTATCTTGTATACTATGCATGCAACCGAGACAGAGTCTCAATATAAAAATATTTATATACATGCATAAACATATCCTTGTATTAGCAGGCTATGCAAAAACTCAAAAGAATCGCATGCATACCTTCTAGACAGAAACCAGAACTTAACTAGTAAGTAAAATAAAACTTACGTACCTGCCGAAGCCGATACAAAAATATAAAAGGTACTGTACCGATCACATCCTATAACTTGTATCTGCCTTGATAATCCATCTCTTCCGGCCTTTGATACGCTGAAACCGCACACCCCACCGTGGAGATAACATATCTTCTCGTTCCAAATAAATCATTGCTAATAAAATGATTTATTTATATAAAATCAATTTCACATCTCACTAATTATCTTGGTATAATCTAATACCCCATGAATTTAAGTGAAGATGAAAACAAAACTGCACAGCATGCATTTAAATCACCATGCCAGGAACACCATGCAAAAATCGCATGAAAAACCTTCTTGTACGATAGAAAGTGATTTCTGTCATCCTTGCCACCAAATTCGAAATTCTCATTCCGAAATACTTTCGTGATTGAAAACTGTTCACGCCTGGCATCTTGTCTTCAAAACTTTCAAGGCAAGACCAATGATCACGGGTTTATAAGTTTTAAAGCTTATAGATTGTTGGAGAAAGGGTTTGTAATGTGTAATACATTTGAGATACAACAATAATACAGAATACATCAGGGAACAAAAATTGGATCATTTGATATTTTCAGGCGTGTAATCACTTTCCTATAAGCTTTAAATCTCCCTCTATAAAAGCAACAAGGTTCAAGATTTAATCTTATGGGATACAAGAAGATGAATGAAATTCTCAAGTTGCTCTGTTTGAGAATTTCCTGTAGAATTGTAAGCCTGTGAAATGTCTTGGTTTCCTGCAAGTTGATTGCCTCCATCAAATTGCATGTTGATTTTCCTTTCCCTTTCAGATGTCTCTCCAAATATTTATACAAAATATTTTGATGGTTATGAGAGGTTACATGGAAGTTACAGAAGTTTCAAACTTCAACTTCCAAAAAGATATATCTTAACTGATATATTAAACATGAGAAATAATAATAATAATAATAATTAATTGAATCTTATTTTCATAAGATATATACCTTCGTAGGTTCATGCACTGCCTGTCAAATTATTAAATAAAACATATTATATATATATATATATATATATATATATATATTTATTATTGCAAGTTACCATGCAAAATAATAAATAAGTAAATAATATATATGTATACTTGCACGAAAGCAGCCAAAATAAATCCAACGAATTGAATCATTTGAGTGGCTATAATCATTCGTTACACAAGCAGCAAAACCAAAGCCGAATCGATGAATGCTTAAAGTCCACCGAATCGATGAACCAACGAATTGATGTTAGCATGCAAAATTCAAGGCCAACGAATTGTGTAGATTTCTCCAAAATACGATTTGTACACAAATAACAAATCGTTAACCACACGATTCCTTTACACATGAATTGTACAAAATATATCATTGTTTAACTACAATTCGTTAAGCACGATTTAATACAATCAATAATAACAATCCGTTAAAACCGACGATTCATTAACACCAACAAATCATTCAAACTAACGAATCGTGTAAATCATTGATTAAAATTCTTATTTCCCAATTTGCTTTCTACCAAACAAAAATAATATTTATAACTCCACAACTCCAAATATTATTTAAGCTTTCATGGTAGTCCATCTGAAATATTAATCTCTATTACTATATAAATCTCCAACAACCAGGGTGTACATTACATTATGCACGATAAGAGTTGTGTATTATGTTAAGAGTTTATGTGTATTATGTATTATGTTATGTTATGTGTATTATATTAGGAGTTTATGTATATTCTACTATAAATGAAGAATTGGATGAGCACGAGAAGTGGTGAGGAAGAGAACAAGAAGAAAGTAGAAGCACTGTAAGTCTCAATCATTTGTAATGTTTATTTACTTCATTGCTTTCTAAGTTATTGAAATGATTTTATAATTGTAATATTTTATGATCGGAAAAATTGTAATTTATGCCCCTCAAAAATATATTAATTATCAATGTCATTCTTGAATTATTAGTGGTATAAATGTTATCATTCAATTTTCAAAACATGGCATTGATGGTGTGTTTGGCGAGGTGTGCGCATCTGTTAAGGTTAGGTAATAAGCACTCTAACGGAGGCATGCACAACTATAACATGGATATATATAATTATATTGAGTGCGTCTTTGTTAAGACTAAAAATAAAAAATAAATTAAGGAGAGAAAGTTTTGCTACTTAAAGTGCGTCATTTTTATAAATTGGAGGTGTGCGATGTTAAAACTTAAGGTGTGTTGATTTAATATTTAAGATGTGCTATTTTTGGACTTTGCTTCTTCCTTCCAGATTCAAGTTTTTTTTTTTCTTTTAACTTTCATTGATTTGAGCAATTGATCAAGATTTAATCGACTAAGATCTCATTGCATGTTCGCACCTGTGACATCCTTCGCACTTGATCACGACTATATATATATATATATATATATATATATATATATATATATATATATATATATATATATAATCGCACTCAGGTGCGAATGCTTCGCCCAGGCACGAAATAGAAATGGATTCTGTCCGTCCACGTGTCCAAATCTAATGGATGAGAAACACTGATCTTTTTAAAAAAATGCGGTGGCATTTTCGTAAATAATTGAACATCGAAGTGCAAGTAAAATATATTACAAGTGCATGTAAAATGTATTATAGGTGCAAGTAAAAATTTACACTGAGCATGAATACTTAGTTGCACCTATCGTTCTAAGTAGTTGCACCTATAGTTCTAAGTAGTTGCATACACAGTTATAAGTAGTTGCACCTGTGTATGAATGTTTGCGAGTGGTTTTCAGGGGTATTACTACCCGCTGAACTCAGATCAATGAATGTTAACAAGGCAAAATTACATGCACTTATAGGTGAAAGTAGGTGCACCTATAGTTATAAGTAATTGCACCTATAGTTATAAATAGTTGCAAATGCATATAGTTATAAGCACACCCAGGTGCATGAATCTTTGCGGAAAGTGAATGCTAACAAGGCAAAATTACATGCACTTATAGGTGAAAGTAGGTGCACTTGTAAGTGATTTTACTTGCACTTCGATGTTCAATTATTTACGAAAATGCCACTGCATTTTTTTTAAGTTATTAGATCTGGACACGTGTCGCACGCTGATTCGTTCGCATATTCCTTCCTGGGCACTTATTCACACCTGAGTCCATCCCTATATATATATATATATATATATATATATATATAATTGTAATTTATGCCCTCCATAATATGTCAATTATCATCAATGTCACCCCTGAATATTAACTTGTCAAACTTTTTCGGAAAAAAAAAAAAAAAAAGAACCCTGTCAAACTAAGTTTGGCAGGACAAAGATAATATATATACTTATGCACTATATTAATCATACAAAATTTAAATGATAATTTTTTACTTTCTATATGTAATTATTTAATTAAATTATAAATCTTATCCCAAAAGAATGAATCCCCAACCCTAAGGCCCCCACACTCTGACCCGACAGAGCATGTGGGAGGAATTACATTATAAATCTATCAATATCATTTGTTGCCAATAAAATGAGTTTCATATTAAATTTTTTGCTTGACAATCTCTCCACTATCACCTTTGCTTGAGGAAAGTATAATCCATATCAGTTCTAATACATCTTTTGTTATTAATGTTCATTGTAGAGTTTTTACTACAATCCAATTCTCATCCATGTCTATATATTTCTTTAAACATGTAGTCTGCTTTTGTTGTAAGAATTCTCCATATATAGAAGTCTGTTGATTTCTGTTTGATGTTGCTATCATTTGATTTCTTCACATCTCTATTTAATTTCATTCCTTACTTTTTTTTTTTTTTTTTTTTTTTTTTTTTTTTTGCAACTGAATAATTTATTTAAACATCTAATTTTTTTCCTTTGCTTATCCCCTTATGGTTTGAGCTGACTGTGCTACGCAGGTGAAAAAGGTTGAAGAAACAAGTGAACATCTTTTATCAGCCCTTAAGGCAGAGAAGGAAGAACTAGAGTCGTCTCTCAACAAAGAAAAATTGCAAACGCTTCAGTTGAAGCAAGAGTTAGCAGATGCGGAGACTCGCAATACCGACCTGTACAAGGTAACACTTGCTAGCCTGCCACAATTTGAACTGAATATGGTTCCTCATTCTATTATCTCATATTTATGACGTCGTATCTCATATTTAGACGTCTGCTGCATAGACGTCGGTCAAAAACCGACATTAAATGGGGTCAAAAAGCTGACCTTAAAGTTCTTTTTTGTAGTAGTGTTTATCTATACTACTAATAAAAATAAAATCCTACTTTTATAATTTTTGGTCCAAAAAAAATAATAATAACAATAATAAAAGAGAGGCCAAAATCATGTTTAACCTGTCAAATCATGTTTAACATGCCAGCTTAAAAAAAAAAAAAAAGTTGGCTGGACAATGTCTTGGACGAGCATTTACAAGCCTTTAAAAGCGCCTCAAAGTTCATTCATCTTAATCTTCATCTGATCTTCAGCTTCATTCATCTTCATCTTGCCAAACAACAATATGTTTTGGCTGCTGGTGTTTGCTTATTCCTTCACAATCTGGCCTAGTCTAAATGCCATTGCTCCACCACCTCCCCCTACTCCCATTTCTCCAATCCTGCCAAATGCGAGTAAGGATTTCAGTCCAATTGAAGCCTCCCATCATGGTCGTGGTACCGGTTCAAATCCCCCACTTTCACATTCCGGTCGTGGTCAGAGTGGCGGTGCTAGTCTCAGTCCGCCTTTCACGTCCCTGTCACGGTCCGATAGTCCCGGTACCATTCCCCATCCTAGTTCACCTGTTTCACCTCCCGGTCCCGGTCACAGTCGCGGTATCACTCCCCATCCTAGTCCATCTGTTTCACCTCCCCGTCTTGGTCCGCCCATTTCATGTCCTGGTCACGGTCGTCGTACCACTCCTCATCCTAGTCCACCTGTTTCACCTTCGGGTCCTCCGCAATGGGTAGGCTTTCACCTCGCATTGCTTTGGTGTCTTGGTTACTGTGAAATAACTAGCGACCGTAAAAAACCCAAAATCAAATAGATGTTTACAATATACGGCTTATGGCCGTTTGACCACAACGGGCAGGACCCACAATCCACTTTTATGCCTGCTTAATTATGACGATAAATTAGTAAGTTTTATTATTATTATTATTATTATTATTATTATTATTATTATTATTATTATTATTATATTATTATTATTATTATTATTATTATTATTATTATTATTATTATTAAATTATGGATTCCCATTTTTGATAGCTCTCCGGAACTCTAAGGAAAAAATTGACTCAGAGATGGGCCAACTTGAAAGGAGATAAAGATATTTTCTAAGAAGCAATGGAAGAAACATGGCACAATATCAATTAAGTTGATGGATCAAAAATTGTACTTCCAGAAAGCGCTCCAGATGAATGCAGCACTAGGAGATATCAAGTTACTATTGGAACAGGATAATAAATATACTCCCAATGCTAAGAACCAAATACCCTTGAATGATTTCTTAGCATTGGGAGTATATTTATTTTCCTGTGCCAATAGTGACTTTATATCTCCTAGTGCTGCATTCATCTGGAGCGCTTTCTAGAAGTACAATTTTTGATCCATAACTTAATTGATATTGTGTCATGTTTCTCCCATTGCTTCTTCCAAAATATCTTGTCGTCTCCTTTCAAGTTGGCCCATCTCTGAGTCAATTTTTTCCTTAGAGTTCCAAAGAGCTATCGAAAATGGGAATCCATAATTTATCAACAACAACAACAACAACAACAACAACAACAATAATAATAATTGTTAGAAAATACTATTTTATGTGGCTCAAATGCATGGAGAATAAGTCTTCCACGTTGCATGCACGTCCTTGTTGGTCTCGATTCTTCACGCCATGCCGCAACACGTTTCCATGTTTCATGCGATTATTTCTCTTGTTTGTAATGTATAAATAGCTTTGTGTTTTGCTTTGTTTAATACACATCAATTCAATATATATTATATTCATTCTTTCTTTCTCACGTAGCATACTTATATATATATTATATTCTTGATAGTAATATATATATATATATTTATATTTTCATTCTTATTAATTCTTTTGTCATTTTTATATATTTCCCCATTATTTAACTTCTATAATTCTCAATTTTCGATTCTTCGCTTCCGCATTATTCCTCTATATTCCTAACAAGTGGTATCAGAGCGGTTTAATTGAGAGTTATTTTCAAAGATGTCAACTGTTACCAAGTTCGATATCGAGAAGTTCGACGGGAAAATTAGCTTTTCTATCTGGAAGGTTCAGATGGAAGCCGTTCTAACCCAGAACGGTTTGAAGAAAGCGCTAGCTGGGAAGAAGAAGAAACCGGCTACAATGACAGATGAAGATTGGGAAGATTTGGATGACAAGGCACGTTCAACCATTCAATTGTGCCTGTCTAAAGAGGTTCTACGTGAGGTGTTAAGTGAGACGACTGCGTCAGATTTATGGTCCAAGCTGGATACGCTTTATATGGCCAAGTCTCTGGCGAACAAGCTACGCCTGAAGGAGCGTCTGTACACAATCCGTATGACGGAAGGTACTTCGATTAAATCTCACTTGGATGAATTTAATTCTATTTTATTGGACTTGAAAAATATTGATGTCGTAATTGAAGATGAAGATCGTGCTGTGTTATTGCTTGTCTCTCTCCCTAATTCATACAAGCATTTCAAAGAAATTATGCTGTATGGTAATAGTAGTGATACCCTTACTTTCGACAATGTTAAGTCAAACCTATTGTCCAAAGAAAAGTTTGACTTTGAAATTAAGTCTGAGGACAAAGGTGAAGGCTTGACTGTAAGGGGTCGTTCACTTGAATCAGTGAGTAGCAATAAAAATTCTAGATCCAAGTCCAAAGGACATAAGTCCAACAAATCCTGTAAGTACTGCAAGAAGCATGGTCATGATGTGACTGAATGCTTCAAGTTGAAAAACAAGCAAGAGAGAGAAAAGAAGTCCGCTGAAGCTAGTGTTGTTGAAAGTGATTCAGATGGTGATGTGTTGTTATCTGTTAGCTCCGGTGAGAAACGGAGTGAAACCGAGTGGATTTTGGACTCTGGTTGTACATTCCACATGTGTCCCCACAAAGATTGGTTCATCTCTCTGGAACCGGTTGATGGTGGAGTTGTCTTGCTGGGTAATGATACCCAATGCAAGGTTAGTGGAATTGGAAGTGTTCAGATTAAAACTCATGATAACGTTGTCAGGACTCTTACCAATGTTCGGTATATTCCTGATTTGAAACGCAATCTGATATCATTGGGCACCTTGGAATCTCTGGGGTGCAAGTACATAGCTGAAGGTGGAGTTCTAAAGGTCATCAAAGGCTCTCTTGTTCTCATGAAAGCTTCTCGTTCTGGAAGCGTGTACGTCTTGCATGGCAGTACTGTGACGGGTTCAGTAGCGGTATCCTCATCGATGTCTGATGCGGATCTCACTCAACTATGGCATATGCGTCTGGGGCATATGAGTGAGAAAGGCATGCATCTCCTGAGCAAGAAAGGTCTCCTTGGTGATTCAGGTACGGGTAAATTACAATTTTGTGAGCATTGTGTTTTTGGGAAACAAAAGAGGGTTAGTTTCTCTACTGCTACACACCGTACCAAAGATGTATTGGAATATATACATTCCGATTTATGGGGACCGACTAAATTCCAGTCTATGGGAGGCTGTAGATATTTCATGTCTATTATTGATGACTTTTCCCGTAAGGTTTGGGTCTATTTCTTGAAACACAAAAATCAGGCTTTTCTTATTTTCAAAAAGTGGAAAATACTTGTTGAGACTCAGACAGGGAAAAAGGTCAAGAAGCTCAGGACAGACAATGGCTTGGAATTCTGTGAGTCAGATTTCAATGACTTCTGTGCGGCAAATGGAATCGCCAGGCACAAGACCTTGCCTGGTAAACCCCAGCAAAATGGTGTTGCCGAACGTCTAAACAGGACACTATTGGAAAGAGCTCGTTGTATGCTCTCTAATGCTGGGTTATGGAAACGGCGTGATTTTTGGGCCGAGGCTGTTTCTACTGCTTGCTATTTGGTAAATAGATCTCCGCATTCATCCCTTGATTTCAAAATTCCAGAGGAAGTTTGGTCAGGTAATCCTGTTGATTACTCTATCTTAAGAGTTTTTGGATGTCCTGCTTATGCTCATTCCAGTACGGGTAAATTAAACCCGAGAGCTGTCAAATGCATTTTCCTTGGTTATGCTTCTGAGTCAAAAGGGTATCGTCTATGGTCTCCTGATTCTCGGAAAATCATTCTGAGTCGAGATATCACTTTTGATGAAAATGCACTACTTTCTTCTGGAAAAGTTCCCAGTACAGGTGAGACACAGAGTACTGGTGAGAAGGTGGAGTTTGAATTCAGGCCTATTGATAGTGTTACTACTGCTGACGGTAATACTAAAGATGATGCATCTACTAGCACAACACCTCTCGTCGAGCCACAACGAGAGTATTCCATTGCTATGGATCGTCCTAGGAGGACAATTAAAAAACCTGCTAGGTATGCTAGTGATGATGAAAACAACTTGGTTGCTTATGCTCTTTCAGTCACACAGGAAGTTGATGGTGATCCATCCTGATATTCTGAAGCTTTTCCTATTGCTAAGTTCAAGCAGTGCTTGAGTTTAGTCGATTATTCCAGTTGTTAATTTCCACAGATGAATTTGATCCAAGGTGGAGATTGTTAGAAAATACTATTTTATGTGGCTCAAATGCATGGAGAATAAGTCTTCCACGTTGCATGCACGTCCTTGTTGGTCTCGATTCTTCACGCCATGCCGCAACACGTTTCCATGTTTCATGCGATTATTTCTCTTGTTTGTAATGTATAAATAGCTTTGTGTTTTGCTTTGTTTAATACACATCAATTCAATATATATTATATTCATTCTTTCTTTCTCACGTAGCATACTTATATATATATATTATATTCTTGATAGTAATATATATATATATATATATATTTATATTTTCATTCTTATTAATTCTTTTGTCATTTTTATATATTTCCCTATTATTTAACTTCTATAATTCTCAATTTTCGATTCTTCGCTTCCGCATTATTCCGCTATATTCCTAACAATAATAATAATAATAATAATAATAATAATAATAATAATAAACTTACTAATTTATCATCAGGCATAAAAGTGGACTTCGGGTCCTGCCCGTTCTGGTCAAACAACCATAAGCTGTGTATTGTAGACATCTATTTGATTTTGGCTTTTTTACAGTCGCTAGTTATTTCACATTAACCAAGACACCAAAGCAATGTGAGGTGAAAGCCTACCCATTGCGGAGGACCCGGAGGTAAAACAGGTGGACTAGGATGGGGAGTGGTACGCCGACCGTGACCAGGACATGAAATGGGCGGACCGAGACGGGGAGGTGAAACATATGGATTAGGATGGGGAGTGATACCGCGACTGTGACCGGGACAGGGAGGTGAAACAGGTGAACTAGGATGGGGAGTGGTACCGCGACCATTGGACCGTGACGGGGACGTGAAAGGCGGACTGAGACTAGCACTGCCACTCTGACCATGATCGGAATGTGAAACGGGGATTTGAACCGGTACCACAACCGTGATGGGAAGCTTCAATTGGACTGGAATCCTTACTTCCATTTGGTAGGATTGGAGAAATGGGAGTAGGGGGAGGTGGTGGAGCAATGGCATTTAGACTAGGCCAGCAGATTGTGAAGGAGTAAGCAAATACTAGCAGCCAAAACATACTGTTATTTGGCAAAGATGAAGATGAATGAAGATGAATGAAGTTCAGACGAAGATATGAATGAAGTTTGAGGCCCTTTTAAAGGCATATAGATGCTCCTCCAATATAATGTCCTGCAAATTTTTTTTTTTTTTTTAACAAAGTCTGACTAGTAATACGATCTGACTTTGATAAAAGTAGATTTTTTTTTTTAACCAGTTAACTTACAAATTGAGCAATAACATATCCAAGGAAGATATCAATTTTAGCTACTAACTAAGAGCCACTAACAAAACTCCCTCATATAGCACTTTCAGATAATCACGCATTGACAAAACCAGTTAAATTAGGCGTATCAATTCCCAAACAAAAACTCAAAAAAAAAATAAAAAATTAGAAACTCCTAAACAATAATAACTTCATAAAACAAACTTTGCAAATTGATGTGTATCGTACATGTGAAAATACTAGTTATTAATAACATATATACGGATGAATGAATGCTTTTTAGAAGGCCCAATTAATTATCACAATTTCTCGCCCACGTCAAATTGATGCTAAGATCACACAACAAATTCATGCTTAGTGTTTGTTGCGTGATAGTTTTTTTTTTTTTTTTTTTAATTACCAAAATTCACCTGTTAGATACCAGTTCGGTTTACGGCACGTTAAACAATGTATTTGATTTAAAAATAAATAAATTAATTAATTAATGCAGTACATATGACCATCAACTGCGGTGTTAAACGACGATAAACAATGATAATTATACAAGTAATCAATAAGTTATCAGTAAATACGCCTATTTGACATATTTGAATATGTAATTTTACGTTGTG